ATCAAGGAAAACGGTGGAAACTTAAACTTATGGTTCTCCGTTTCATCCTTGGGGCCATTCTACTTATATAATCAAATTTAATTGGGACCCGTTTAGAATTGTGAAAAGAGAACTTGGAGAAGGAAAGCGACTCCCTGATCGCTCTTTTGGTGCGGTGCAACTCATTTTCTTTCATTGATTTTACTGCCATTTATAGCAGAAATATAAACAGTGTTTTCTACCTAATTTTACAACTTCTATTTAATACAATAAATTTGCTGCCTCCCATTAACATATAGAACTTTGCTTCATTTCTTCCAGGAGTTCCAGCCCACGTTCAGCTTCATGATACTGTCACTTTGCTGCTACCATGCTGTCATTGAACCCTGATCATTTGCTTTCGCTGACTGCTGTCGCAGTTTTCACATCACAACTCCAACAACTTTCCTGGATCACACTAGCCAAAGTTCAGTTGTACCTCGTCAAATTAAATATGGTACAAGTTTATCTTGATCCATAACGATTAATAATTGTTTAAGATTATGAGAGTTTAAGCTTTGATTTTAACTCCTAACAAAGATTTTATGATTACAGAGTAGCCTAATACCAATCGCTAACACATATGGACAACTTTGTGGCCACCGCATTGAGAAAGATTTTATCTATGTGGTTCAAAATAGGCTTGCTTTCGTTAAAAAAACGAAAGGTAGATATGGATTTTAACCCTCAAATTCAAATATACCCTCCCCCAATCCACGTTCCAAGTTTCAATTTATTTTTCTAATTGTTATGAAAACATGAGTGGACAGATTAATTTTTTTTATAAAAAAAGTTGAAGATTAAATAACAAAAAATCCTGGCTCCAATCACCTATAATCTCCGCTCCTATTTCCTTATTTCTGCCGCTTTATTCTCTTTTGATCATAGGACTTCAGAAAATCTACGAGGCCAGTTCCACTGACTTGGCCATGTAAGTCCTCTAAACTTTAGTTGACACTTCATAATCACTTTGGAACTAGCAGACAATTTCCTAAAGGCAGAAGCCAGAAGGTGCCACTCAGCCCCTATACTTACAATGTTGTGACAAGTTAGCTCCTGTACTTTAAATCATGGCAAATCACCCCTTTTACTTCATGAACTCCGCATAACAGCCCTTTTAGTTAAACTGATATCATCCAGACGCTAAACTCTTTAATTGTCCGTTAAAGCCTGACAAGGTGGTGCTAACTGGGCATTAACTGGGTACTAACATGGATCAATTCACCTCACTTGGTTAACAATTATATTTGGGCAGGAAGCCTGCATTTCTTTGTAGCAGATGTAGACTTGAAAAACCAGCTTTCAGCTATAAAAATTAAGAAAAGAAGTAATTGGTTATAAAAATAAAAGTGTTTATTTTAGAAAATAATTGACTCTAAATCAACATAAATATTATATTGTTAGAAAAGTATTTCTTAATAAAAATTTTGAAACATTCTCTTCTAAATATAAGTGATTATATTGATTTCAATCATTTCTTCAACTATTGCTTTTGGAACATAGGTAACCAATTAGGTTTTTAATGATATCTATAAATTATAGAAAAAAGTTTTATTCTTTTTATTTGAAAATAATAGTTTTTTTTATTTTATCTTTTAAAAATTAATGAGATTGAAAATTTATTATTAAAATGAGTAAGAATTTATATATATATAAATTTTACATAATATATTTATATAAAATTTTAATTATTTATTATTTATTTTTAATTATTAAAATTTATTTATATTTATTAAAAATAATTATTATTTTCATCTAAATAATTATAATAAATCTTAATTAT